TATATCGAAAATGTTGGAAATAGTCAAAAAAGATTCGGTGAAAGTAAATTTTTATTAAAATTGGCCAAACTTTTTTTGTATTCATTTTTTTACCATTTCTAACAATATATTTTTGATATAAGTAATTATGAAAAATAAAATTTTTCGCTTTCGTAAAACAGTCTAATATTTAAATGAATATGTAAATGTATGTGTGTACATTCAAATATTAAATACATAACTAGGGCCAGGATTTTTGCCGTGATTTAAAAATAAAATTTTACAATTAATGTTGTCAAGTTTTTGACATTACGGCAAAAATATTGATCTTATAAAAAATTATTTTATTAAAAAAATGTCTCTTATGATTTTTGGACTTTAGGCTTTGGACCAATAGGAAAGCAGTAATTTACAATTAAGATTTTCATAGTTTCCAAAAATTTGAATCAATCATTATGAATCTTTATTTTGAAATTACGATGGAAATATTGATTGCATGAGAAAATTATAAGAGACAATTTTTTAGTAAAATTTAATTTTTTACCACTTTTGTTTCAATTTTTTTTTCATAAAACTAATATTTTTGCCATAATATCAAAAATTTAAACTAATCATTTCAAAACTGCGCCTCCCTATCCCTAATTATAACTATAACATATATCGTATATCATATATCTAGATCTCACCGAAGCTCATCTTGTAAACTTGAACGAAAATCAAAATTTCTGTATAAGATTTATATTCGGATTACACAAATATGACTAGTCTCTCTCTTTCCTACTAAGCTCAAGTGGTTGTCAATACGACTTCATCAGAATGCTCATACTATATTTCATCGTCTCTATAGTGTTCTCTTTAATCCTTCTAACCCTTCTTACCTCAAAAGTCGTTTTAAGTTTCTTCGTAACTCCCATTCGCTTAACCTGAGATGAGCAGAGACTATGAAATTTCAGTCAGTCTTTTACTGTACAGGCTGTTCGCTTATGGAATGAACTCGCATTTGCAGTTAAATGCGTACTATCCCTACCGATATTTAAATACTTAGTAAAGAATCATTACCTAGCACTTTAAATTGTAACTTCGCTCCCTTTCTAGCCATTAAGTAATATATTTAGTATATTGATTGATTTAAATATATATTTATTCTATTTTTGTATGTATTTCTGTTTGTAGTTTAGGTGTGTTTATTATATTCGTTGACGCCTCCTCTGTGTTTGTATTTTATGTAGTCAGGAATTGACGGACCGAATCATACGAGTTTTAGCCTTCCGGGGGAAAAATAAGATTTTTACTGGTATCCCAACCTATATGCACTCCCACTGGCAACACTATATACCTCATGTCATTATGAATTTTTCGCTTTGAGATGTTTCGTGCCGAATCAGCGAGTCGCGCAGGGGGGTGAAACTTCAATACAAACCTAACACCATGGAAATACATGTACTTCGTACAAACTGGAACCCGCACTCTCGAATGACATAAAAAATACAAGAAAACGACCTTGAAATTTTTCATTACCCCTCAGTCTCTTTCTAATTAGGGTGAACACAAAATACAAGAATTTGGGATATTATGAAAAAAGTTTATGTTCATTATTTTTATTTATTTTATTTAATAAAGTTATATTAATAAAACTTTATTGTTCAAACCAATAAAAAAAGGTTACAAAGGGAGGACTTAATGCCAGTTAGCATTCTTTGCCAGTCAACCCATGGCGTGGTGAGAAATTAGTAGCAGGTGACTTTAGTAACTAAATACAATAAATTTATATAGATATAAATTTATTAAAAATTATATCCATTTATAAAATTTTAATTTATAAATGGACATCATTTTGGTCATGATGAGTTTATGGTTAAAGTTTTCGGGAGGATGTCTTTACATCCCTTATAAAATCATCATCATCATTACAGCCTTTCATAAGTCCACTGCACTCATACGCCTCCCCCAAGGAATGCCACAAAGCACGGTCCTGAGCCACCTGCATCCATCGACTTCCTGCATGTCTTACCAGGTCGTCACTTCATCTAGTGGGGCGATGCCCTACACTTCGTCCGCCGGTAATATAATATAATTTAATTAATTATATTTTATAAAACATCGTTAATTAATTCGATAGGGAAGAAAGGTTCTCGAGTGGCCTCGTACCGGTAGGCGAAGTGTAGGGCGACCCCCCACTAGATGGAGTGACGATCTTATAAAATAATATAAGGAAATAATAAAAATAAAATAACAATCGCTTTTATTTACATTTATTATTACAATAGCAATAGTGTTTACAAAATTGAAAGATACAATAATAATAATTAGAAGCCAAGGTTTTTACAACACAATTTTTTATACATGATTGAATAAAATAGTTTTGTGAAGTTTTTGGCGCTTGGTACGAACTACACTCAACTTTTGGTCCATACAATTTTTTAGATGCGTTCTGAGACGCATGGTCAAAAAAGAGTTTGAAATTAATTTTAAAATGTTGGATTCATGAAATTCAGAACAATTTATACTGTCATCCATAGGATGATAAAACATTTGTCGCAACTGTGGTGTGAAGTGTTGAATAATGATATTGATTAATACATTTATAATATTAGGTTGATCCAGACTATTCATATTTGATGCCCTTTTGAATATTTTATCCGCAAAAAGGACAATTTTGTACACCTCTGCGGATGGAAAATGCAATTTACCTCGATTTACAAATATTGTGAAGGATTGATATTTATTTACATTTAAAACGTATAAATGATCGGTTTGTGAATGATCTGCAGCAATTAGCAAATTTTTACATTCATTACATTTCAGCCGTTTGACAATATTTTTTATTATATATCCGGTAATATAATAAAGAATATTTTTTTGATAATCCGTATGGGTGTTTTGTGATTCTAAAGCCTGCAAGTGGTTTTCGATTTCATCATCAGTATCTGTATTATCAGTATTTGAGATCGGTTCTACTAGGGATGATTGTTTAGTGCCGAATTCAAATACATGCGTTGCGTCGTATGTATGATCAATGCAATTTCCATTAATTGAGGGTTGTACAGAGTTTCGATATAACAATTTTCTTAATCTATGTCGGAATTCAAAAGGGCTGGGGTTATCATTTGTTCGACCCCGGGCTCTAATACAAGAAAAATATGTTTCTAAATTATCCTGCGAACATTTAAATGTTAAAAGATATTTAATGGGAGGAATGACGTTTAATAAATCGGCAAAAGTAATGGAAAATTTTCAATGTTCATTAAAAAACCTAGAGCAAATGTTTTGCGCCCGTGGTTTAAAATACTTTTTCCATTGATACTCAATGATTTTAAATATTCTTTTGTATGTTGCAAATGATGTGGTTGAAAACCCACTTGATGATAATATTTCATGTTCTGCTAGAACATTACATGCCAGTTTCAACAAGTGTGCGGCATCCAAAAAACAATAAATTTTGTCGCTACCATTTGGGTGTGGAAAATATGGCTGAAAATTTTCTTGTTCTAGATAACAGCCTAAAAATTGGTACGCTCGTATATTCGATGGAGCGCCATCGCATGTCATTGAGCGGACTGTGATTCCAATTTCGTTAAGCAACAACACAGTAGTATTTAATAATTCTGCTAAAAGTTCACCATGCAAACTATTTTTGATAAAAAAATAAGCTATCGGGCACTTGAAGTATGTAGTGTAGGACACGATTTGAAAGACTAAGGCTTCAGTAGCTATTTCTTCCGGATCGCTTACGACGATTTTACCGAGATCGACATAGCCAAAAACTTTATTAAGTTTTTGATCGTAGCATAAATCTTGTTTTAATGCCATCCCATTAAATATTAAGGCAACATTTTTTAAAAAACTTTTTTCGGGTATTTGTACTTGTTGCTTCAAATATTCTAGAACTTGGGACAAAAGCCCCACATTGCAATTAAAAGAGGCCAATGAACGTCTTAAGGTCTCGACGTGTGGCAAAGATGCATATTGTTTAATAAACTCGTACGCTTTTGACGAATAAAAATGTAATGTTAAAGTGAAGGATTTCACTTCATCGCTATACCTCACACCTTGTGTTTTTGTTTTTAAATTATTTACATATATTGGCAAAATTTCCTGATATAATATATTCTATCTCACTGTTCTCTGTATATCATTTTACAATTTTATTATTAAATATTTCAAATTATTAACAGTTTTGTTGAGCCGAAATACTTTTTGAACTAATGATTTGTTTCTTTCATTAGTTTTTTCGTGATGATTTAATCCTTGCTTGTACACTCGTATTTTATCGAGCGCAGTAGATTTGTATGGGAGAAGTGCTTTTGTCCGTGACCTAAAAGAGTAAAAAGCTGTTAAAACGATTATTTTTATAATGGACTAGTTAGTTGTGAAAATGCTATAGTCAGAACTAAAATCACAATTCAACTTAAAAAAATTAAAAACTGAAAAAATTTTGACTTTGTAGTTAACAATTTAATAGACCAACAAAGTATGCTGATGAAATTAAAATGTCATTACTATTTTGGATGTTATAATATCGTCGATATTCATATTTTCCCTTTCCGTTTCCAAAATGTCTCGAAGTAAAGACCGTGATTTTTTACAAAGAGGAATATTTATATTTTCTTTTGTAGCATCACGCAGCGGCCAAGATTCCTGAAAAGACACGAATATATGATTTTCCAAGACTGAATAACAATACGTGTATTACACATTAAGATAACAATTTAATAATAATAATTTATTTCAGGCATTACATGATGTTAATTAATGTAAATAGAGGCTTATAGATAAATACCTTATTGACTAAAATACATATTTATTATAAAAAATTAAAAAGACGTTAATGGCTAATTGTGTTAATTAAAAGAGCACTTACATGACTGCAGGATGGCACGTTTAACATAATTTTCCAGGTTCGTTTAGAAGCTGCCTTAGTTGCATATTTTTCATTTGGCTGCAAATATAATTAAGTAAGTATTAAATTAAACCTGCGAAGGTGTCTTTTCATCGTCACTTTAAAAATATACATACTTTTATTAAAATATTCGAATCTTCATCACCCTTAAAGTATCAGATAAATATGATGGTTGATTTTCTTTGTTTACTTGTGTCTGAAATCAACAATATAAATTTGGTAAACAAAAATATAAAAATCATAGGAAGTAAATTAGAACTACATTTAAATACATTAAAACCAAAATTGTAGATGACATATCTGAACATTTATTTCTAACTATAGCAATTATAGAGGTGTAACAAAATTATCAAAAAAATTATTATTTTTCTGAGATCATATATTTGATTAAATATGTGTACATTTTCATTTAAAAAATTTAATACAATTAAAAAATTAGAAAAATATTGTACAAAAATAGCTTTTAAATATTTTGAAAAATTATAGACGAGTGTTATAACATAAGCTGTTCCAATTTTCTAGGTGAATGCATTTTTATTTTTTTCTCAAAAAATTATCTAGAGAAAAATTTTGTAATTTTAAATTACTTTTCTTCCCTTGGAAACAAAACATCGCATGGAAATACGAAATAACAAGTACCTAACAAAAGTTCATACCTGTACCAGAGAACAATCTGCTATTTCATTTAAAAACGGTGTGACTCCTTGTCTCAGTCGTTTCCCCGTAATCATGTAATCGGTTGATTTGAAATGGAGGTTACAAATCTTTGCTTTTTCAAAAAAGGGTCTTTTTAGTTCCACATTATTTAACCATTTATTACGTTCTGTTAGATTGGAAGGAAACCTGCAAAAAATTAAGTTATAAAAAATATAAATTTATTTTAATTGTGATGTTTTAGTGTATCGTCATTCGTGTAAACAACGTTTCGAAATTTTATGCAAATCGAGCAGAGTACCATTCGAGAAAACCTTTTCAGTTTCTAATTAAAATGAAAATACATTCACAATGTATGGTCACCCTAGTCGTAGTTATAATACAAACATGAAACGTTAATTAGTAAGCAAATAATGAAGTTAAATTGGAAATAGCGAACCATAATTAACATCTCAACCAAAATAACAATTTTTCTATCCAGAAATAAGAGCAATTAAAGTCGAAATATCACTAAACAATTTCACATGACGCGCAGTATTTGCATTGTGTTTTGTACTTACGAATGAAATATAATATTACAACCTGGATGCCATTCACTTTTGCAACCGCGCACAATACATTTAATGACCATTTTACTAGTTTTGGCCTCTGGATTATTCCAAAATTCAAAAACCAACTTGCGAAAAAAAAACTTTTTATTTGAATAAAAATATTGACAAATAGATTTTGGGTTGACATATAACGGCTTTTAAGAATAATTATAAAATAGGGGAAATATTGGGAGGCTAGGCAAATAGTTCATCGTAAATCTTTATTTAGTGTTTAAAAGAAAAAGCAAATACTTGCGTGAAAATCGGTTTAGTCAAGTTTTTTTATCATTTTTGACCTATAATTCTTGCCATACAAACAATTAAACTTATATTGAAATTCATAATCGCTGTCAATGGGGTAATATCAGCCGTCACGTTGGCTATCCTGTAGGGAAAACAGGGGTTATTTGAGGTCATTTCGATATTCCTAATGTTGATATTAGGAGTGTGGGTTCCAAGTTTGTCTATACTTCCGTGCCTAATACTGAAATTTTGTGTGACGCCTGAGCGCCATCTTTAGGACGCCGTCATGCAACTTAATATTATACAAAATTCTAATAGATGGCGGTGTTAAAAGGGTTGGGTGGCCATATAAAGAACGTGGTAGAATTGGAAGTATTATATTAATTGTGTTTTGTTTTGATTTTCAATTATTGCAAACTTTACAATAAAACTATAAATAAAAATATAATAAACTATAAAACTACTCTTCAAATGTTATTAAAGTCTTTTTGGTAGTGATTTTTTAAATGTTTTCAAATGTTATATAAGGTAATTAAGTAATTTGTAATTCTGGTTATGGCAACTTTTGACATTGCAGGCCGGTACCCGGTAGAAAAGTTTTGAATTTTTTCTGACCATAGATTACTGTATATATGTTCTGACTTTCTGCGTTCTGTTTTGGTGTAAGTGGGTGTAAGTTTGCATCATGAAGATTGTATTACTGAGTTACTTTATTTTAACGACTTGGTATTACTTACGGACTCTGGATTTTTCTACTGTATCTATAAACTCGGCACCCAATACGGACTTTGGATTTTCTACTACTACGCACGACATTGGCATTCAATATTCATTACGGATTTTGGTTTTTCCTTTAATTTATACGACTGTTTTTACATTGGAATACGCAATGCCTACGAAATTGTGTTATTTTGGCTGTAAGCTAGATGGTAAGTATTTGCGTAAATAAATATATATCATATTTTAAGATTACAATAGAAACATGACAAACCCATTTTGTTTTTATTTTCAGTACCTATGCATCGCTTTCCAAAACCTGGCTATTATAAACGAAGCTAGATTTAATGTGTGGTTGGCAGTATTGTCTGAGGAAACGAAACTCAGAGGAACTTCATATATATTAAGAAATATCTACATATGTGACAGGCATTTTGAACCAAAGTTTCGCACTGTTGGAAGAAGGATTGCTGCTAACTTTAATTTAGATTTATGTAAGTATATAGCAGTATGTTGCTTGCTTTCTGGGTAAGTAGGTATGTAGTGCAGAAGTGTAATTTCTATATGTAGTAGTAACATAGGAGAATCTACTAACTTTGTATAATAAGAATCTGCCACCCGCCAAAAACTCATTGGTATAACACCTCTGAATATAACCCCAAGAATAAAAGTTATTTTTTATAGGCAGGAAACTTGAACTCAAACTCCTCATTAAATGAAATTTTGTTAGACATTAGATTTTTTTAGGACAAAAAAGCAATTTGTCAATAAATTTTGAAAATTTAATATGAAGAATACTATAATTCTAAAAAAGTAAAGTAACAGCCTATTTAGGTCCTACTGCTGGGCACAGGCTTCCTCTCACTTCTGAGAAGGTTGTAGGGCAAGAAAGTGTCCTCCGCGGAGCCCCAATGCATGTTGGCGGACTTCAAATTTCTTCGAAATATTGTTTTTCATTTCTCAGACATGCTGGTTTTCTCACAATGTTTTCCTTCACCGCAGAGTATGTGGTAAATTAGCACTTAAATTTGCAATGAACAAATTCATTGGTGCCAGCGGGGATTGAAACTAGGTTGCTCGTGTACTGTGAAATTCGCAGCGAGCGCTAACCCACAGAACTACCACAAATTCTAAGAAAATGAATTTTAAAACTTGCCTGAATTATCATAGAATAATAATTTTACATAAATATGTAAGCTTCCATTAAACTGAAAGTATTCTGAACATTCATACATAAACAATACCAGAAAAAAATATGCTAGAATTTATTGCAAACCTGAACTTATTATCTTCTCTTTAGTAGAATTCATATGTATTAAAATTATTTCAGCTCATCAATATAGATCTTTGGACAGTGAAAACTCCGAAACTGCAAGTTCTACTGAAGGTAAATATTTAAATATAAGAATTAAAAGCATGCCTCATTCATGATAATATCTTAGGTTGATGTATTATTAGGGTTGAACCCAGGGAGTACAAAATTTAATTATACATATGTTTATACAATATAATTTGGTTTTTAGGAATGGTTTCAATTGAATTTTCGATGATAAATATACATACTGAAATTTCACATGCTACTGAAGGTAATTTTTTTCATTTAAAGCTTGTTATTAGTTGAGTACACTTACGCATGCCTGTCATACACTGAGAGTGCCTGGTCCTGGTTATGTGTAGTGTTCTTGATTATACCCCCTTTTCTCCAGCCACATATTTTGCACTCAATATGGCAATGTGTTTTCTTCTAAATGCTCGTGGGCACATACTTTAATGTAATTGCAACTGAGTGACACTATTCTGATCTTGAATGTTTCAATTAATGAGTATTTAATCCAAACTTGCATGACTCAATCCTTTTTTACAGGATAAGGGTGACAAACGAGCACACGGTCCAACTGATGGTACGTGGATGCTGTGGCCCATAGATATCTACATTCTATTAAGAATCAAAATTCAGATGCGTTGTCACCCCTGAGGACTAAGATGGAATGCCTCAATCCCAGTGAAACGGGTCTCCGGTTCTCTACACTCACCATACGAAACACAGCAGCATTAAGCTGCTATTTTACGCTGGTTTTCTATGAGAATGTGGTCCTTCCCCGGTCCAGCCGACCCATTCATGCTACAATCATAATATAGCTGCAGCATGGCTCTACAATGTAAAAAAATGAATGTTATGTACACTTGTTATTGATATACATATCAGAGAGTAAAGAAATGTGGATATTTTCGTGATTATGTAAGTGTACTTGTTAAATAAAATAATAATAAAAATTAATTAATAAAAGCATTTGTCGACTAACAATTTTGGCATCTTTAACTCAAGCATAATGATACACCATATTTTTTCAGAAACTCCAAAGGCCTCTTCTTGAAAGGATGCATATCAAATTAGAAAACAGTCTAAACCTGAACAACAAAGAGGTAAGTAAAATCATATCAAGTTATATGTATGTATTATTTAATTGTTGCTGAATATAAATTGGCTGTTTTGTCAAATATTATCTTATAATAACATAAAATAAATTAGATTAGAACATATTGTGTTTATCGAAGCGAGTTCCACCTCAGTGTCTGGTTCTTTTTCTATTTTTGATGCTTATATACAGTGGCCTATTACTAAATGTAACTGGGGTCTGAACTAGTGTCCCAGCCAAAAAAGTTTCAAAATGCAAATATAAGTTTTGTCGAGCAACTTAATATATGTACAAAATGCCATACTGTATTGTGAAAACATACAAAAAGTATTTATATAAATTTTCCATAAGAACTACTAATATTTAATCATTTAAAAGTAATATTATGCATAGATATGTACATAGTATTTAATTTAAATTCATATTAATTGTAAAACAATAACCATACCGATAAATTTCACTAGAATCTTCATAAGTTAAAAATAGTGCAACCTCTGGTCGAAATCAATAGGCTGATAAATTGTCACAAGTAAAATTGAGTAGTTTTATAATGACTATATGGTTTGAACTAGGATGTTATAGTTTTTAATATTTCTATATGTGTGCCTACACATAATATCGGTTAACTGGGACACATTTTTCGTGAATTTTGTTATATTAAATTAGTAGTAGTATTTAATAGTTTTTATTCCAATTAACTGTACAATTAATTAAAATAATGTCCCAAAAAATACTAATAGTGTAGGTTTTGACAATGTTTCCACTAAGATTATTAAAACAGTAGGGAATATAATAGCTCACATCTTGTGCTACATTATAAATTTATGTTTAGAACAGGGAATATTTCCAGATATATTGAAATTGGCAATTACTATCCCAATATTCAAAAAGGATGACAACAAGCTGTTAAAAAACTATCGTCCTATTTCACTAATTTCAATATTTTCAAAGTTAATAGAACACATTATATATAAAAAAATAAACGATTACTTTGAAACCAATAATCTATTTTCGAAGCATCAATACGGCTTTCGAAAAGATAAATCCATTAGTATGGCTATATACGAGTTTTTGGAAAGAGTCGTAAAAAACGTTAACAACCGAAAGCCTACACTAGCACTATTTATGGATATGACCAAAGCATTTGACAACATTAATCATAAAACATTACTTAACAAACTAGAAAGGTATGGTGTAAGAGGCAACGCCCTTAAGCTAATCGAATGTTACTTAAGTAATAGAAGACAAATTACACATATAACCAAAATTGACTCTAATACCGGTGAAAATAAAATATACAGATCGAAAGAGCGTCAAGTAAACTATGGAGTACCACAGGGAAGTGTACTGGGCCCTCTCCTTTTTTATTATCTATATAAATGATTTTCCTAATGTAATCAACCATCATATGACTATTTTTGCTGACGATAGTACTGTTTTATTTACTTATGATAATGAGAATAATATAAATATTGACATTAATAATACATTGACATCTTTATTCAAATGGCTGACATTAAATAACCTAACAATTAATTTGACAAAAACTCATGTAATAAACTTTAAACAAAGAAATAATTATCCTTTAAATTTTGACATTAACTACTCTGGAAATTCAATTAAAGA